TTATGCAATGAATGAAAAACTTTGTGTATACCTCCAGCAATGTTAACTATGTTGAAGCACTTATTTTAACTGATATTATACATAATGTATTATACTCTTATAAGATGTATGTAGATATGTCATCTCCGGCCTTGTCAGGTATTGAACAATCAATAAATAAAGAACACAGAATTATTAAATATAAAACACAGAATTTGTGTGATTATACTAAATGATTTACAAATAAACACCACTTTATATTTACAACTGTTACACATGCTGATGTAATGCAAATGTTTCCAACTTGGGATCAATAAAGTATATCTTATCTTAAGATGATCGATGGCTACTGCCATATTTGCAAAATGTGCCTCTGAACCTTGACAAGTGCATGTTTCAGGCTCATCAATTAACAACAGGGGTCACAGACATAAGACCAGCTGTTAAATAAAGCTCTTCTGACCTTAGCTGGCATGTGGGTATATATATTAATGCTGCCCATTATGGGCACAAGCAATTTTCACCCATTTATTAATTATATGTTTTAAATGTCCTAAATGATAGGAGTGTTTCCTATCCCCTAAACCTCCAGGGATGTACACAGTTTAATACTGACAACTTATTATTATGGGAAATACGAAAACGTCTTTTAAAACTACAACTCCCAGTAGAGACGTGCCATAGATAGAGAACATGTTGCGAAACAGAATAGCCAGCATGTGTAGTTCTGGGGACGGGGTGGGGGAGGGGGGGACGCGGTGGACCTGTTCAAATCCAGTTTTGGACAGTCTGCCGTGGTTCCATCCCATTTCAAGTGCTGTGGTCGACGCTCGGCGTAACCCTCGGAGCACACTCTCCAATCACAGAGCTTGAGGACTATCACAGGGTTTGTCAAGCGAAGCGGAGAGAATACTTACTTCCCGGTGTAATATTCTGTAAAGCAAATTAGCTGCTCCGACCCTCGGTCCTGACGGACTCCAACTTGTGTTTATTAATCAAACAAATAAATAAACACAAGGATAATTATGTGTTATTGTTGAGTAAATGGAGAATTGCACAGGGGAAAATAACGTATCTATGCCACAATTTTAGATGCGGATTTTGTTAAACTAATACGTTTGCGCTGTGGACCAACACTATACATTGACGGGGAAGGGGGTAGCAATAAAGATAACACCATTAAACAGTTACACAACATAACAGTTGCTCGATATTATCGATAGCAGCATCCCTATAGCAACCACCTTGGTGACAATGAAAACGTTGTATAGACACAATTTCCTGAAGTAATCTTCGTAATAACTAGCAAACATGTACATCCATGTACATGTACATGTACATCCACTGCACACATAATCTGAAATAACAACTCATATTTCTCGCATCAAATGACATCAAAACGCATTTTAATGGCCAAACTAACTTTAAAATAGGCATTTTACACCGAGAATAAAACGAAGTTCGGCCATGTTTTTTTTTTCTGCAGGGAGAAATGTGAAGATCACTTGATATAGACGCCAGTCATTGGAATGAATGGTGAAAAAAAACGTAGGGATCTTACAATTTCAGAGGCGTTTTTGTAGAAATACTACGTCTTACGTTGTGGACCAACGTAGTTATTACACGTTTTTTTGTGAGACTGGGTTGGAACCAGACCCGGCGTCATGGGCGGGCCATGGGGCCGGGCCCGCCCATCCAGGATTTGGGCCCGCCCATCCAGGATTTGGGCCCGCCCATCCATGATTTGGGCCCGCCCATCCAGGATTTGGGCCCGCCCATCCAGGATTTGGGCCCGCCCATCCAGGATTTGGGCCTGCCCATCCAGGATTTGGGCCCGCTGTTTTAATCAGGGCTGAATACAGTGGCGGCGCCAGAGATTTGCTCTAGGGGGTGCTGTGGGGTAGCTTGACATTTCATAGAGGGTGCTCAAACATTAAGGGTTTCCCATTAATGCACCAGCGCTACAGTTGAATTTTCTACTGCAACACTCCCCACACACACACGGTGTGCCCGCGACTGTTACAATGAAGGCTCGGTAATCAGCTCACGGCATATAGGTGTAAGCAGGGGTAAAGTGCTATTTTTACAAGTGGGGAGTGGACCTCACCTCCTCTAGGAGGGTCCTCACCTCCTCTAGTGGGGTCCGGGGGAGCTTGCTCTCTAGTGCGTTCTTACTACATACAACACGGAACCAACTTGCATAAGCAAACATATTGTATAAATAAGCCTGTAAACACCGTGGACCTATCCTCCTTTAGGGGGGTCCGGGGGCATACTCCCCCGGGAAGATTTATTTTAAAATATTGAAGTTAAAAGCATCAATCTGGTGCACTTTGAGAGCCAAAATGAAGAGATCTATGGATATACAGTATATCTCAACATACATATGAAACAGAACTGTAAACAGATTTTCTATTTCTTTATAGATCTTTTACAAATCACTCCCCTTTTAAAACAAACCGTTTGAGACCCACTGAGATAACTAGACTAAAGTTAACTATCAAAACACTGAGAGTCCTTTACTTCACCTGAGCTGAGGTTATCTGAGACTCTCGGTCTGACAGGAGAGAGTTCTCCCTCCACCTTGTTGTTGATAAAGCTCCTTATATCCGTTAGCTTGGCTAGCTATTACCAGATGCTAACCACAACGATCTCCGGTAGATACCCACCGGTGCGCAAGCTCTCTCTCTCGCTCGCTTGCGCACGCACACAAAATGGCTCGTGCCACACACACACAGAGCAGAGCTTGAATGAAACAGACCCAGAAGTAAGCTACTTGTACTCACGAGGCCTATTATGTGTAGAATCCCTCTCGCTTTCAGGTGGTTTTGATTGAGTGTCCACACATGGACGTTTAAGGACTAAAAAACTATCCATTTGTCACTTTGCTGTTAGCAAATCATTTGGGGCTCCAGCTAACAGGAAGTCACTCAAGTGTCACAAAGTAATTTACCCTATGGGTAGGTCAAAAATCGAATGGGTGCTGGCCATTGGCCTAATCTTATCACCTGTGTTGGCTTTATGTTTTTGGTCAAACATTTATTTGTTTCACATTTGCATTGATGTAATCAATAATTTTTCTGATTTAATTTAATAAAAATAATAATAATTTTGGAAAAAAAAAACATTTCTTGGGGGTGCTTAGGGGGTGCTTTGGCAATCCTGGGGGGTGCTTCAGGGGTGCTATTTTTGTATTAGTTTAATATCATTTTTTTTATTTTTGCTAGGAAATTCTGAATGAAAGGCTGCGCGCAAGACTGGTTTTTCGCTGGGTTGAGTCGCATTGAGTCGTGTGGGTTTTTGAGTGAGATGCGGCACAGCAGCCTGCCAGTTAGTTTACTCTTGCTAGTGGTTCACGAAAGGAATATGGCAACGCAGCGCCAGATGCAGGCACATTAGAAGAAATCAGTTAGGCCTACGTTACCAACGAGCAAGCAAGTCAGCTGGCAATCAATTATATTTTGAAGAGAAATGTACTCTCAAGCCGGCTCTCTCACAAACTCCTGCTCTGTGCGCAAGCAGACCGCTGCACAGGCTCTCTGCCTCGCTCAATCTCTCTCTCTCTCCCTTTCTCTCCATCGCTCAACTTCACTCCACCTCTCCACCCTGTGTGCGCTCAAGTTTGCCTGCATGCGTGCTTGCCCAAGTTGGCACAGCGTTACAAATGTGCCACAAAATCAACCCATGGATATATAAGACCGTCAACAGCCTTATGGCGACCTAAAACCCCTCTCTTTCAACAATTCACGAGCGCCTCCCCCCCCCCCCCCCCCCCGCCCAGGGGAAAAGTACTCCGGTGTGAACGCGGCTATTGTAAGACTGATTTTCCGCTCAGAGCCGAAAAAAGCACTGTGTTAGACATGGGCGGAGCCTCTCTGGTGGTTGACTAATCAGAACAGAGTGGCCGAGCTGACCAATCGGAGCACACTGGGCTCACAGGGGGGGGGAGAATGAATACACATGCTGTACAGAGATGCTGTATGAGAAACCAATGTGAGTTTGGAAAATTTCACAGTATAAATATATTTTAATATACCTCAACAATGGAATTATGTTCAGTAGAAATGGCCGGGACCTTTAAGGAACATATGTTTGCAATAACAGAACCCAAACGTGTGACATAATGATGATGACATGTTGCTTATAACTCACAAATGTAATCTTAGATAAGTTTAATAAAGTGAAATTGGTCGAACTGGTCCGCTTTATTCTGTCCTTGTATTGTCCAGTGTTTGGCTCCAGCATCAAGCACTTTGTCAGAGAAAGCAGCTGTTGTTCCCTATGCAAACGATGCACACACACACACACACACACACACACACACACACACACACACACACACACACACACACACACACACACACACACACACACACACACACACACACACACACACACACACGCACGCCCTTAGTCTCCTTGTGCCTCCATGTGAATGTCTCAGTGTGTCACCAGTAGTGATGACAAATGTCTTTGTTTTACCAGGTTTTACCCTTTACACCCCCCCCACCCCCCCCCCCCACACACACACACACACACACACACACACACACACACACACACACACACACACACACACACACATATTCAAGATATTAATTTGACGTTTTTATATCTTTTATGTTTTTTTAACTTTTTGTTTTAATTTCTTTGGTTTGGTTTCCGCGTCAGTTATGCCGTCAGTCAGGGCACTTGCAGTTAATATAACCTGACCCATGCTCCAGTGTGATCTGAACTACATGAGGCAAGGTCTCATGTCCCCCTCTCATCATGTCCTTTCTGTCTCTTCCTCTCTTTTCCTCTCGACATGGATGCGCCATGACGCGTGCCAAAGTTTGGTGCGTAATGGACACCGATCCATCATTCCTTCCCCTTCCTCCTCATCCCCTCCTCCTCCTCCTCTCCGCCGGGTTCCCGTCATGCTGAGATGTCTCGAGAGTCCAGAGAGAGGAGGAGAGAGGGAACAAGACGGATGACAATAAACCGTTTGAGTCGCCATCTGAAGGGACGACACGCACGTCAACACGTGGATGGATGGACAGATGGACTGATGGAGAGGGAGAGACACAGATTGATAGGCGGAGAGACACTGAGTTAAAGAGAGAGAGTCGGTGTCCTTTACGCACGTCACGTCCTTGCCACTCCATTACCCAGAGTTCGCAGAGGAGGTGATGACAGTCTGTGTTTAACTTTAGTTTGTAAATGTTTCTTTTGAACACTTTAATGACTTCTTCTTCTGCCAGCCTGCGGTTGTGTGTGTCTGCTAGGACTGTTCGGTAGGCCTACTACATGCTGCGGAGCTGCTGCCCCGACCTCCCCTCGGCTTTAGAGCAGGTGTTTTTGACACGCTAATCGTTCATTAGAAGTGACTCTTTGGACAGGTTTCGAGCGTCTAATCCGGGAGGACATGTCGGGACAGAAGCCGGCCTTGAAGAGCGGCGGCTCCCCTCAGAGCCGCTTCCAGGTGGACACGGTGACAGAAGCAGCAGCCGCCCCGGCCTCCACAGATGCATCCAAGCCACCCGAGGAGTCCAAAGGACGGTTCAGGGTGGTGGGCTTCCTGGATGCAGGCACCCTGGGCAGCGCCATGGATATCGGGCTCCCGCCGGATGTCTTCCACGAGCCGGACACGGCGCGGAGCGACTCGGTCAGCCTCCATTCAACGGGCACAGGACATACGCACATCTCCGACTCCCACTCCAACACCTACTACATGAGGACCTTTGGACACAACACCATAGACGCCGTGCCCAACATCGACTTCTACCGGCAGACCGCTGCGCCTTTCGGGGAGAAGTGGGGCAGACCGTCGCTGTCGGAGCTGCACGATGAACTCGATAAAGTACAAATAAAATGTGTTTTCATTCCCCTAATAGCATTACACATCATAGCCTACATTGCGGAAATTATCACGCACTTTTGTGGTGGAAGACTTTTTGACCTAAAGTTAAAGTACAAATACCCAGATATGGGAAGTAACTAAGTGCATTTACTCAAGTAGGCCTACCTCACTTAAGTACAATTTGAGATACTTACTTTACTTAAGTATTTCTAATTATTGTATACTTTGAACTTCTACTCTATTACAATTCAGAGGTAAATCATGTACTTGTACGCCTCTACATTGATTTAGTACCTTTAGTTAGCCTACTTTACAGATTTGGATTAATGATGTTAAATATAATCAACTCTTAAATCAGACTTTAGTCCCAGTTTAGTACCTGTGTACAAAGTAATTCAAACTAGCTGCACCTTTACCAGCTTTAATAACACTTTAATGATCAATAATTATTTAAAAAATCATATGTATTATTCTGTTGAATGCAGGACTTTTACTTGTAACAGAGTATTCCTACATTCCGGTACTTCTACTTTTACTTAAGTACAAGATCATCTGAGTATACTTCTCCCACCTCTGCCAATACCGCACTTTTAAACAGTGGATGGTGAAGTTCTCGAATACTCTGAAGTAACTGTGAAGTAAAAGTAGCACTACAACAGCGTAGAATAACAAGTTACATTAAATTCCAAACTGTATTTGAGTAAAAGTACACAAGTAGTCTTAACATTTACTCAAAGTGTAAAGGTATACTCATTCTGCACATCATCACATTCCTAATATATATAGTATGTTTGAAGTATGTATACTTGTGAATTTCAGCAAGGAATCAATAGAGTCTAATCTATATCATACATGATTTAAAAACATAACAAATATCTGTATTATTCATTGATATGAGAATCTTCAGAGCAGTTGTAAAATAGTTAATAGTAAGAAAGTTCTACTAAACTTTCATTCATTTGAAGACCAAATCAAATGCAGCTCCTCCATTTTTCTCAAGTTAATGTTTAGTTATGGGCGGTAATTAGAGGTATGCAAGCTGAAAACAGAAAACATTCCCTACACTCCATCTCAGAGACTCCGAGTGGGCTTAGTGACATGGAGGCATGTCCCCAACAAACAAACACACACACACACACACACACACACACACACACACACACACACACACACACACACACACACACACACACACACACACACACACACACACACACACCACACACACACACACACACACACACACACACACACACACACACACACACACACACACACACACACAATGCTGCATCTCATTATCCTGTAGGCATCCCACTCCTCTAGGTAGCTGCAACATAGCCGTACATTGTACACTGATAGTATTCTAACAGCAGGATGTTAGATGACGTACAAAATCCACTAAAACATTTATTTTTAAGGGGATACCAATATGCTAATTATTTGTGGCTCATATTTGTATGTTGTGCCTCTACTGGCACATGTCTCCATGCTTTAATGTTCAAAAAGCTATTTATTTTTCTCATACTGCCTGTGCTGCAGCACCTCTTTTCACCCTCTGTCTGAAACCAGAGCCCAGTCTGTTCTGATTGGTTAGCCAACCGCCTCTTTTGGGATTTGTCAACCGCTTAGAGATGTCCCACCCTATCACGTACAATGTGTTGGATTGCCAGCCAATAGAAGTGCAAGTATTACCTAGTGAGGTCACTATGTCACGAAAGTAAACAAAGGAATCCAATCGAGGTGTTTCAGGCAGGGAGGGGGAGTGTGTGGGAGAGAAACTCTCTGGAGGGAACACAGGGATTTTAGCCTTTGCAGACCTTTTACATGCACAAAAACCTATAGAACTCAAGGGAAAAGCCCAAAAAGCACAATAGGGCCTCTTCAGATGTAGGTATATATTTATTTTTCATTGATCCACTAATTGATTACTCTCCTGTTTTTTTTTTCTGTCACCCTTTTCCCCTTGGCTGTGATTGGTTGTCAGGATCCGTTTGAAGACGGACTGGCCAATGGAGAGGAGCCTTCAGCAGCTGAGGAGGCAGCGGCGGCGTTGGCGGCAAAGAATGCTAAAGGAGGAACTATCAAGTTTGGTTGGGTCAAAGGAGTCCTGGTTAGTGTTCTGTACAGGAACATTTAAAGGAGTAGTCCTCTGTTTCTCACTGTGATATTTCATCTTATCTGATCAAATCAATGTTTTCAACAGCAATTGTTGTAGCGTAGACTCATCTCCCATCTGGGGTTACAGGCTGGCCCACAGAAGACTAACATGTTTGTGCATTACAGGTCCGCTGCATGCTGAATATCTGGGGTGTGATGCTTTTCATCCGAATGACCTGGATCGTTGGCCACGCTGGAATCGGTGGGTACATTGAGTTTAAATGTTTGAGAAGAATTCAAGTATGAGGTCATTCTCCTTCAAGTGCCAACAGATCAGAAAGTCTCATTAGATGTACTATTTGGCAGCCACAATACTTTAATGTTCTATTCTTATCAACTATTCCCATTAATAGACCCCAGGGCCGGCCCTAGACTTTTCGGGGCACTAAGTTAGCTTTGGCTTGGGGGCCCCCCTCACTCTAGTGCGTTCTTACTACATACAACACGGAACCAACTTGCATAAGCAAACATATTGTATAAATAAGCCTGTAAACACCGTGGACCTATCCTCCTTTAGGGTGGTCCGGGGGCATACTCCCCCGGGAAGATTTGTTTTTAAATGTTGAAGTTACAAGCATCAATCTGGTGCACTTTGAGAGCAAAATTAAGAGATCTATGGATACATCTCTCAACACCCATATGAAACAGAACTGTAAACTGATTTTTATTTATGGATATTTTACAAATCACTCCCCTTTTAAACTCTATTCTTGTTTTACTGTCATATAGTATTTCATAACTCTTTTTCATTTATTCTCTCTGGCTGTCCATCTCATAATGTTCACATAGAAACTAGCTGTCAATAGGAATATCAATCAGAAGAATTATAATTTCATGCACAAATCTGTCACAAAAAGAGGTTACACATTTAAATTCAGGCGTTGTTATGGCAACGTCAGTGGCCAAACAGCCACATTTACTACTGCAAATACGTTCAAACATGCTGTCGACATGTAGAGCAGTGGCAACTACTGTATGCCACCATTTCAGCTGACTTTTTCTCAGAAATACTGTCACATAACATCCATATATTTCAGTGCTAGGTTGATGCTTAGCTAAGCTAACTATGAAACACTTTAACTGACAGGACTCAGGATCAGCTGTCGAACAGTAAGTCAACATTTCCCAGAGAGCTTTCTTTGAAATCACCAGGTAACGCTAAAAAACATAACATTTAGATTGTATGACAACGTGTTTATTTAATATATCTGGCTAGCTATAGCTACTTGCTAACGATTCAAAGTAACGTCAACGTAGCTGTAATTATGCTTTGCTTACATGTTCACATAACTTGGAAGTTTACTGACATTTACATACCTTGTTCACCTGGCTCAGCTGGTGGCTCTGGGGTTGTTGTGTGAGCCACCACTTGAGAATTGTCTTCTTTTTTAAGAAAAAAATGTCTTATGTCCATCTTCAAAAACTCTGAGTCCGACTGACAGTTTATTTTAAACATTGTCACAGCTCACAGTCAGCCAATAAGACAGATGTTCATTTCCATTCAACTCTCTGGTTGGTCTGGTGTCTTGCCTCTGTTGCATTCACTGAACACGGGAAATTACAATCCTGCCGTCCTCTCTAGTGTCATGATGAAGTTCCGGTAAAGCACGGTTAATGTATTATATTATTGATTCAATAATATAATACATGACTTTGAGAGTAGGAAATCTAGGCATATTAACAAAATTAATTAAACATACTTATCACGCTGACGGTGTACTGAGATTATTTTTTTCATTTTCTTTTTTTGTTGCTCGGGGGCCCTTAGTGGCGGCGGGGCCCTAAGCGGCCGCTTATGTCGCTTAATGGATCGGGCCGGCTCTGATAGACCCAAACCAACACTGAATGTGTCTAATAAAAAGTATTGTGGGTGTACCATCATGGGCCTCTGTGCCGTGTCCCATGTACATTGTCCTGCTGCCACAAATACTCATAACCAAACGTGGATTCATCCGCTAATGAATAATGTCCCTAACAATTTCACAATTTTCCCACTGTTTGTGTAATGTTGGATGAAATATACATTTCTAATCCCTTTTAAAAATGTGACTACTTCAGTTGGGACCATTGGGCATGGAGCTGAGAGCCACAGACAGGAAGTCAGAAATAATTGAGAGACGCACTATAGTATTGTTTTTTGACTTTTTATGGAATATGTTTACATTAAGAAAAAGCCTCAATTCAATCAGCAAACAATTAACTGATATTGTGAACTAAACATTGATGTTCAGGAATATATAATGAGAGCCATTGGCTTACATCGATACAAGTTCTGTGAAAGCTTGAAATGAGCTGATTTATCAATTTGAGCTAATGGCTAATGGGTATGGTAAGTTCATCATTAGAGAATGTTGGGCCTGTTTGCCTGCTTGAATAAGCTAATCAGTTCTGAAAATTACATGATTCATCAAAACTGTTGTTTCATAATTTTCCGAACTGTGTTTCTTAGTTTGTTTATGTTTTGTTATGTTTAATAGGTCTCACCATTGCGATCATTCTGATGGCGAGTGTCGTCACCACCATCACTGGTCTGTCCACCTCTGCTATAGCAACCAACGGCTTCGTACGAGGAGGTGATGACAGCAACTGTACACATGCTTTTATTTTGAAAATGTCATCTGATTATTGTGGAGTTTACCACCCAGTTATCCTGGAATACAGATTATTTTTAAAGCAACATATTATGAGAGCCAAAAACTCTAACATTTAGCAGCCAACTTTCAGACATATGAAACCTTTTTCTTTCGTAAAAACCACTGGATAAAGAACATATTTGAAGTAATACTGATAGCTAATGTTGATTGATGGCTCAGTCAAGAGTAGGGTTGGGAACCGAAATTCGGTTCCAGATGAGAACCGATAACAAAATGCTGGGTACCCATACAAAATACACAATTTTGGTTCTGCTTAACGGTTCCTAAACGCGGTAGACTAACCCTTTAGTATTGCAAAGAAAGCCTACATATCTACACGGACGTAAGCTAAGGCTACGTAGCTAGCTGTAAGGACCTGTAGTAACGTGATGACGTCACGCATCAACTGAACAGCAGCGTGTGATTTGATTTGTTTAGATACCCAGCAGCATGCACGGCTCGGGCTCAGTCACCTCATAACACCAAATATGCATTGCGGTAAACGCTCAAAAGTGTGGCTCCACTACACACAAAAAGAGAAAGGCAAGGCACAGTGCAATGCCTGTGGCAAGCTAATAGCTTGTTCGTCAGGTTGCACTTCTAATTTAAGCAAACATTTAAGACAGCACGGCATCGAGATGAAAGAATGTACAGTCTTTAATGGCTTGCGGTCTCCGAGCCCGAGTATGGCATCAATAGCCAGCACTAGCACCCGAACCCGGTTGTCAGTTAAAAGCTTGAAAAAATTAAGATATTTCTAAACATTAGACCTCTTTCTTTTACAATTTTGGAATCAAAACGGGGAATCGATAAGAACCGGAATCGATAAGCAGAATCGGAATCGGAATCGATACATTTCAAACAATACCCATCCCTAGTCAAGAGGTTATAAGAGAACTGAAGTGGTGATTTTACTCGCATAATTCAACCTAAAGACCTCTGGGTTGGCAACCACCATCAACGCTAGAGTGTCCCTGAAAATAAAAGGTAATTTTCAAATGTACGGTACCCCATAATGAAACAATGACTAATACCTGATTCACTGCTGTGCAGGCGGAGCATACTACCTGATCTCCAGGAGTCTGGGACCGGAGTTCGGAGGGTCCATCGGTCTCATCTTTGCTTTTGCCAACGCAGTGGCTGTGGCCATGTACGTCGTAGGCTTTGCAGAGACAGTCGTTGAGATGCTTAACGTAAGAAATAACTTGGTATAACCATTCGAATTGTGTCAGATTGATTTGCATAGATCCTCATATTGATCTTGTTCCTGCTGTTGGTTGCAGGATGTCGATGCTTTGATGACTGATGAGCTAAATGATATTCGTATCGTTGGAACTCTGACTGTCATCCTGCTGCTGGGAATCTCTGTAGCAGGGATGGAGTGGGAAGCCAAGGTAGGACAGAACACTGAACATCCTCAGAGGACATCTCATAGACTGACACATGACACTGATAGTAAATTATAGCTCCCTGCTGTTAATATTAAAGCCTCAAACATGTGCCTTTGGTCTGACTGAAATAGTTCAACATTGGTTGTATGGCAAAAATGAAACCATTTGCAAGTATTCATGGTCTCATCCGTTGTTGATTCCCTGACTTCTTCTACCACCACCATGATGATCACATAATAGTTTGTATTCAAATTAAAACAACTAGTGGTTGGATTACATTAACGAGTGGTTTAGATATTCATGGTCCCACCAGGATGAATTGAAATACCTTTATTTATTTATCATCTTCAGGTCATGACCAAAAACCTGCAGATCTAATGCCCTTCCCCATTAGCCTCATCTGTACTTTTGGTTTAGCAGTGAGTTTTAGAACGATGGCATGCTATTAGGCTAGAACATTTTACAGTACTTGCTAAACATTAGCATGTTAGCGTA